GATGCGGAGAAACGAAGCGTAAGTGACCGGCTGGCGGCGGCTCGTTCGCTTGTACGCTCTGCGCGGGCTGACGGCCCACGCAGCCCACGCAGAGACTAAGGCTGTAGTTGGTACCGTTGCCGTTGTCCGAGCGGACCGCAGCGGTGGCTTTGCTGCCGCTGCTGCTGTAGAAGATCCCGTGCTGATGTGTTTGCCTTCATCTACTAACATTAATACTAGTACTGCTTCCAGAAGTTCGCCTCTTCCTGCAAATCCGTCATCCTCGGCTTCGCCGTCGCCATCGTCTTTTTCGTCGTCCCGTCGATTGACCAAGGCGGCAGAGCGGCGTTTGGTCAAACGGTCAGCGGGCCACAGACACAAGAACGGGAGGGAAACTGGGACTTGTGCCCGACCAGTACTGGACTTCGTCCGCGGCTGCCAATGGTGGCGATGACGATAGCAAAGCGATCAAAGGAAGCAAATGAGCAGTCAGAAAAGTCGAATAGGGAAAGGTATAGCAGTAGCAACAAAAGCAGAAGGAGGCGAAAAGCAAAAAGATATCACCAGTCCGCTGTGTTACAGAGGCAACACGAAGATTGGTCAAAGCCAGTTGCCTATTAGTCATGCAGTTGATCAGGTGAACGGACCTTGAAACTGGAAAAGGGACAACAACGAGATAATAATATTACGAGCAGGCTGTGATCTTCTCCATGGCCGCAAGCGGCAATGTAGCGCGAGTATAAATAAGGCAATTTACACACTCTTCCATGTGCACAGTGTCTAAACCGGTTACCGTTTTGTACCGAAATGATAACCAGGTAACAGCTTATTTGCTGATGACGTTAATGTCCTAGTTAGATCCGAAGGATGAGTGCATTTGAAGGGACGATTATCTTCCGTTCCGATATTTCTGACATCTATATGAATGTAAGGTATGGTAGACGATTGCGCATATGGTGTACATGGACGATGAATCGAATAGGTACGCGCAGAAATGCAGGCAACCTACTGGTCTGTCGAATGACATAGTTGAATTAATGGAAACCTTTTTCCAGATGGACAAGCTATCCTACAAAAGTATACCGTACGTTTCTTTGCTATCTACAAACTCCTCCATTAAACTCAGCGCAATTTGCTCCCAGTTGCGGTGCAACTACTTCACTTTCGTTCGAGTGACTAGTTCAGTGATTTTTTTTCTTCCCCAGAGATCTATTTCACATCTGAAAGCACCACTATCATCAGGTGATCACTTCATTTCTCCTGTTTGTTTCTTTTCCCTCCTCTCTCAGCAAATCATTTGTTCGCCTGGAAGGAGGCTCACCACACTTCACCGCAGTGCAGACGCGATCGAGTACAGACGTAAATAGGTGACCCACTAAAATCACTCCACTCAGTGGACTCGAGCTTTAAGAGTATTTGGCAGCCTGAGCGCACCCAGAACGCGGCGCCGCATCATAGAAGCCGTTGGTTTTTTTTTGCCCATTTTGACGGTCAGATGACTGCGGTCAGATGAGTGCGGTAGTATAGAGGGGATGCGAAAGATACAGGGGAAAAAGCGAGACGGAACGCAAAGTGCTTTCTGATGTCCAGTCGCTTTATCACCATGGCTTCTTGCCTCTCGGTGTCTCTCATGTGAGTGAAAAAGGTAGGCGTTGGTACTGTACTTTTGCCTTTCTTCCAATTTCCAATGTGTCATACCGGACGCTATGTTTTGTGCCAGTTTAGTAAGATGGCTCTTCGCTTCGATCGGTTGGGCGTACGTTCGTTGTCCACCCGCAGCTATAATTTCGATGGTCGGTCGCAAAACTCGAATGGTCTTTACCTATATTTCTGATCTCTCCTCCTGTTTCATTTTCTATCTCCTTGCCATTCCACGATTCTCTGCCTTTGTCATTTGCCCTGGATCTTAGCTTCTTCGCAGCCAGCGGACGCCTTGCTCCTGCTCCTCATCTCGGTCGTTCTTGAAAACACACCGCTTTGTCTCACTCCCCTCTTCCCCCTTGGGCCTCTAGCCCATTCTTCTCTCTTTTCAATTCGTAAAGTGAAGAGCAGAAAAAGGAAACCCAAACGAGTTTTCTAACCCACTGAGATATAGCCATGGCGGTGATCGTGTTGGTAGTGGGGATTCAGAAGCGCTCGTCTGGATCTTCATCTGCGGCTTCCCAGGTCCTTGCCCATTCGGCAGTGCTCGAAGATGGGCATGAGTTTGTGGACGGTATGACGCACGACGCTGCAGTGTACCGGGGCTGTTTTGCGGTGCTGCTGCTGCACGCTCACCGAGTTGTTATTGCCCCGTTCTCACCCAGCAGCAACGGCAGCGATGGCGGCGGCAGCAGTAGCAGCTCTTCCCCCAAAGTCTGTGGAAACGGGCGGAGTGCGAATACAGCGAGAGAGGTAGGTGTAGTGTTGGTTGGGGATTCCCAGGAGTTGCGAGGGAACAGGGGCACAGGGATCTGAGGAAGAGGAGGAGGAGGAGGAGGAGGAGGAGGAGGAGGAGGAGGAGGAGGAGAAGGAGGATTTAGCTATGGAGGCAAAGTGAAGAAATAGGGAGTTGCATGCGGCAAGTGAGGTGGTGCTGGTAGGGACAGAGCAGCCCTAGCTCTTCCTGGCAGGGACGCTGCTTCCTGCTGCCGTTTCGCTTGAGTTGACACTTCTGTCGAGGCTTTTGCGGGTGCTACCGATGCTGATGATGACGTTGGCTCTTCTTCTGCTGCCGGGAGTCGCAGCCGTACTGTGTCATAGCTGTCTTTCCCCCCGCTTATACGGGGGGTACGGTTGGATAAGAGGACGGCCAAGCGAATGGGGGCTCGTTGCTTCCTCCACTCATGTTCCTTTGGCTGCGTCTATCGTTACCGTCGCTGCCCCTGTAGAGAAGAGCAGCAAGAAGCCAACGGTGTATATCTTTAGCCCTATATATTTCCTTAGTTATACATTAGAGATGGACAATTTTTTGGTGATCCTTTCTTCCCGTGACTCAAATCACACACTCACCACTGCAATCTAGCCGGAAGTACTACATGATCACAACTGGGTTACTATTTATTCTAAAACTTAGAACAAGAAGAACTTGTTTCGAAAAACACAGTTAGCGTCACGAGATGATCTGTGTCAGCCGATGTTTTAATAACGACATTTCAAATGTGCAGGTTCCAACCCGTATCATGCTACACTGATAAAGTTTAAGGGTGAACAAAACGGTATGCAAAGCGTTAGCTGGTATTGAGCTGAACTCCATATGATGGTGATGTTACTCAATGCGTAATATTCTTATGGCAATTTCAGTACGAAAGAATCGCACTGTTTAAATCATGTTCAAGTTATTGTCACCATGCCCGTTTAAGTTTTCCATATATGTTACGTTGTCGATGATTTTTGCTGGGATATAAGAATAGGTAAATTCATTTGTTGGTTAATTTGCTACGGGTTTTTTTAACTTCGCAGAACAAGTTTGAGTCGCGTTCTGAATTTTGCCGGAGGTCATCTCTAATGGGGCACCGTTTTTGTGTAAGTGGTTTAATTTTTTTTTAATTGGTCCAAATGTTCGATTGAATTTTGTCAAAAAATTAGATTTCACGTCAGCTACCTTTTGAGGTAAATTCCTAACAGAGTGCAATGTATGCTCCACCGCATCCGTATCAATACTATAAACTGCGCGTATTCAGGAAAATTTCAATTGCATAATGTCTAGTCACAGTCCTACGCAATTCGTTCCCACTTAAAAGCGCTTCTTCGGTAACTTCATTCCCTATACGCATGGACGGATTATCAAGAGACCTCCTGAAATCTATCTGTCCCGCTGAAAAGAACGTCTGAGTTCCCTCGTCTAGTCTTGTCTTGCAAACGTAGCGTAACGTTGTCGGTCTAGCACGAATTTTCTACGAGAAAAGAGCGACACCCCAAAATCAACATGTCTGTCTTCTATCCGAGAGTGAAGAGGACGTTCTTAACACAAAATTTTCGATATTACTCAAACGTCATTGGGTATTCGGCCACAAGTCAGGCCTTCCCGCATTTTCCCCAATCCCTGATTTTCGTCATTTGGCTTTTTTTCCTTTCCTCCGTTTTTCCGTTCCGTCCGTCCCCTTCTTCTCCGTCTACGCACGAAAGTGAGTAAGGTTACAGTTAGACACAGATGTGTATCGTTTCTGTCGTCTGTTTCTCAGTCAGACTAAACACTAATGCAGTGTCCCCAAACAGCCACCGTCACGTCCGGGGCCTAACTGGCCTTCCCTCTCTTTTGGTTCCATTACTCTCGCAGCGAATAGGCAGCGAGAGCTTGGTTCTTTTTTTTTTGGGGGGGGGGGGGGGGGGTGCCTTCGTCCGCCGCGTTGTTCTTCGAGTGTTGTGCTGGTGCTGCCGCTGACTACCGATCGGGCGCTCTTGCTGTAGACACGGCGCAGTCATACCACTCTTCACAGACAGCCCCATTTAGCCAAGCAAGCTTATAGCCCTATAGCATGCACGCCGATCTCGCTCTGTGCATGTGTGTCTGTGTCTGTTTGCGGGCACAATACGGCCAGGATGAGCAGGACCGGGACCGGCCGGGCCTGCTGTGTTGGTCCTGCTACCTCTTCCTGCCGGGCTTGCTCGCTAGGCCAGCTCGAGGAATAGTGGACTATGTGGTTGACTGTGCGGCTGGATGCTTTACAGGCAGTCGTCTCCTCTCGTTCACTGGCTGGTCGCCTGCCGCTATTTTGGCCAGGCCGGCATTGTGCTCACCCTTACCGCCCGCTTTCAGCACGCTCTCGGCCGCTCTCCGCGTCCCGCACAGCCACAATAGTTTCGGAGGCGGGACCTGCTCTCTCGTTGGCCGTGACGTCACTGCTACGTCATCGCCACGCACCAATGGGCGCGCGCTTTCGCTCTCGGCCCCCCGAGTGCGGAAGGTGTGCGCCCCGAGAAAAAAGCCGAGTATTATGAGAGGCCGGACTTAAATGTGTTCATCTAAGTATATGAGAGCTTAGATAGAGTTTAGTATGCGCGGAGTGCGTTTGGGCAAAGCGGAGCGAGTGAAGCAAGCAAGCGCGGCTACCCGATACCCTTAGCAGCGGCAGCAGCAACACACACAAGAGCAGGAAGCAAGCAGAGGCAGGCAGGCAGGCAGGCTCTTTCTTCTCCCTTTTCTTCTCGTACCAGCAGTAGGCTGGCAAAGGAACCAACACTCGCATCAACAGCAGCTGTCCAACACTAACTCTACCGAATGGCTGCTAGGTAGTGTCGAGCAGACCAGAGACCAAAGCGCGGCCAGGCAGTCAGCCGCAGGTAGCAGCTCGCGTAGCGGAGCGTGCACGCGTGACTGAGGTTCGTTTCTTCCGTTCCGGAGATCCTACGTCGTTTAGCCTCCGTGCATCGCCACCAAAGCGGTACTGGTCAGCTAGTGTGGCCTCTGACCTAGCCGAACCAAACCTAACCTAGCTACACCTAACCCAACCCAGCCCAGCCCAGCCCAGCCCAGTTTAGTCTAGCGTCCTCCACTGCCTACCTAGTGGCAATCGACTTGAGCTACGTATTATTGCCGTTTCTCTTGTCGAAGCGAACCTTAACGTCGATGTCCTACCCGCTGTGTGCCTTTTCTACCACTACCTCTCCTGAGGTATCTTTGACTCTGCTCTAATCTGGTTTACGTTGTTCGATTAGCCGTTGATTTAATGGAAACGAATTGCGTCGGTTTGTTGAGTTGTCGTGCACATCGTTAACATATTAATCTAACGGAACATACACGGTGCACGACGAGAAATAGTAGAAATGAAATTCGGACCCATGCGTGATCTCATCGTCAATGATAACAACAACAACGACGACGTCGTCTTTACCTACAGTAACAATTCGTCAGTGTGCCTTGACGGCTATGCGCGTTAGTCGACAGCAGGTGTTATCGCAGTGTTGGAACACATCTGTCCCGTAACGTAAGGTTCAGTGAGTGGTTAGTCATAACCTGCAGGTCACTTGAAATTTGTCTGCAGATAAAAATGCGCCAAAAACTGGTTCGTAAAAGGTGATTAGTTTGATTCGTGGCCTGGCTAATTAGTCTCCCCAATGTTACATTTTTTACCACACACGGTTCATCATAGCCAGACGCAATCGTATGAACGTGACAGAGTTGTGACTTTGGCATATACTAATGTGAAACAAGCTAGGTCTTAACTGTAACGTTAACAATAGTTGATTATAACTAGAAAAGAAAACGAGTTACGCTAAATGTCTAACATAAATATATACAAGCATATGCAGAGTAAGAAAAAATATCATCGTTGGTAATAACCGACAGAGGCAATGGTGGTGAAGAAGTGAAGTGTTAATTATATAGTTCGCACGCTCAACCTAATGAGTGTTCGTCGGTCAAGCTGCGAGTGTGTTAGAGGACCTCAGTGGCGTGGACTCTTTGGACTGCTATTCTAGACGACGGGACAAGCGAAGTGACCCTTTTGGAAGAAAAAACAGGCCAAAGCAACAACAGCCACAACAACAACAACAACAACAACAGCAATAAGACGAAAACAAGACATAAAAATAGGTGAACGTTTTTAAGTAAACAGATAAACCTTAAGGGTTGTTGAAGTCCCGTCCCATCCGTGATATTCTGTGCGCACAAAACCCGTCTAGTGTCCGTCCTGGTCTGTGTGGGACTACCTCCCCCCCCCGCCCAGCGTGAAACCGATTAGTACCACTAATAGTATCGGCAGCAAAAACAGCAACACATTTAAACGGTGCGAACTAGTTAGAGCAGCCGCTACAGCTATAGAAGCCAAGCCATACGGCGAAGTGGCTCCTCAAAAGAATCCATCCAACCTATCAGTAAACAAACAAGTCTACCCACTTTCGGTTTTCGGTGACTGCTCAACGTGTTCCCTATCAAACTGCTGCTCCGAACGAGGTCACCGCCCGGTCTCTCCATGAGTCCCACGAGCACATTGGACGCGTACAACATGGACTTGACCACGGCGGCCTATCGGTACAACGCCACAATGATGGAGTACTATAGCTGTAAGTATTGCGCTAAACGTGTACATTACGACGATAATGGCAACGAGCATTAGCTAAGTTTGACTTGACGATGAGAATAAGTGGGGCGTGGGAGGCAGCGCAGAGTCTTACCTACCTGTTTTTTTGGTTGCCGTAGCCTTTTCCGTAGAATTGTCCTTAGTTCTCAGTTTCATTGTCCATCTTGCTCACTGATCTCACCTGCTTACGGCCGCTACCGGTTGAGTTATATTAGCCAAATGAGAACTGACCAGAGCTTGGCAAGGTCTGTCTTCTGCTGTTGCCTCTTTGACGTCCAGAGGACCACTGACTTACCAGTGGATTTGGTGCAGGGTGGTTATCTTGTTCTTCTGCAGCTGCCTTTACCGTTGCTGCAGCTGGTGAAGGTGGCAGCAGACGCTCTGCCTAGTGGCTCAGTGTACTTAGAGTGCGGGACTCGTCGTCGGCAGCGGCGGCTGCCCTGCGTCGATTGGGATCAATTATTGACGCGGCTGAATCTTTCACCACGGGCTATCCAGCTAGTCGGCCAGCAAAGCCCGCTGTGGCTCGCGGCTAGCGATGGTGATGTCTTCTTCTTTCTTTTGGGTAAACCTAATTCCGTTGGGGAGGGCCGTTTCCTTGGCTTTCGTCAGTTCCTTTGACCGTTCGGCCAGTCCACAACGTCCGCATCTTCAGTCGCAGTAGCAGTAACAACGGCAGCGGCAGATTCCGCCTCCGACTCCGATTGCCAGTAACCACCAATACTGGCTCCAGTTCGCCCTGTTTCAGGCCAGCACAAGGCCTGCTGCTGCGGCTGCTGCTACTGCTTTGCTCAATCAGCGAATCGCGCTAGCGCATCAAGTTCGCTGTTTCAATCAACAGCTTTAGAATCATCAAGTCCAGTATTTCTCATATAGTGGTTCGCACATAGTTATGGACCTGTGGACCTATTGCCATTATCTTCTTAGTGTGTCCTCAATGGGACAGCGACTTTCGGCTGTCGGTGAGTAGTCGTGGTATGATCCAGAGATGATCATGATGATCTCATACTTCATTGTGAAATCGATACGGCTCAGAAAAACGTCGCCGGGCTGAACGTCGCCACTGGCGTTCGCAATGGCCAGTCGAACAAGATGGCTATGTGATCGCGTATTTGAACTCAGTGTTGTGTGGTCTAACTGAGGTTGAAAGTTCCTCGATGTGTTCCCATTGTTTTGACGAAATAGCTGTGATAACTATCTTAAGTTGTCCATTAGTTTTCTCTTGCTTCCTTTATCTGTGTATTATGCCTATGAATATGCTCAATCGAAAATCCAGTCCTATAGGGTCGTAAAACTAGTGACTGTAGTGTACGAGTGACGTACCAAACAAAAGCTTGCGAAGAGCCGACATGAATGATTCGTGTTGTATGATTGAAGTACCTGCAAGGGCTTTCTCTCTATCTAGCTGAGAAATAAAGTACCTTCTTCGTTCGATTAGCAAAACTTCAGTGAGTCACGGCAATCATCGACTGGTTTCGTTCAGTATCGGCGTATCGATACGTAGAAACTTATTAGCCTTTTGCTTGATCTATTTCATTTCGCGGAAGTCGCAATGATCCGTCGATATTGTGTTTCTCAGGCATTGCACGCTACGAATATAGCGCTTCTCTAGATGTTTTGCATGTTGCAATATCAGTGAAGCGCTCCGGGCGGGTAGATAACACTAGTCGTGTTGGCCTGGTTGTCTGCTATTCTCATCATTGTTTTGTCGAAGGCATGAACCGGAGAGTATCTGTGTCGTTGTCTGATACACTTTAATCGGTCCTGCTCTAACCTGTATGCACCACGATCGCCCGCGATGCTAAATAGAACAGATCAGCAAATGTTGCCTCTTTTCAGTGTATCAAGCCCTAGTAACTAGACAGAAAGTCTTGTCGAAAAGAAACTTAATTTTCATTTTTTTTGACTAGCTGGATGGTGTCCTGTTTGCGTGACCGTAACCATCGGAGATGTTAGCGACGCTTACAGCAACTCTATCTCGTAGCACAAAACACAAAATAGAAGAACGGGTTTGTGTACCCTCTACGCGGCCACCACCGATAATTTTTATACTAAAATTAGACAGGCCTAATCCAACGACCTAATTGTTCCATCTCTCTTTTTTCCTGTCGGATGTCGTCGTCGTCGTCGTCATCATCGAGGGTGTGAAAGACGATGCACTGGTTCAGTCCACACCTCTCTACTTTGTATGGTCATTTAAAGATGGCTGTAGCCTGTTCAAAGGATGACAAAATAACTTTACCTGCTGCCAATGCAGCCACTGCGTTCACTGCCGTTGCTCCGAAAGGACCACTTCGAAAGTCTGCACAGGAGCGCACACCGTTAAGGCGTGGCCGTTTGTCTGTCGAGTGACGCGGGATTGGCGACTAGCGATGTATACTCCTGTCTTCTGTTCTCGTATTATTTACGAGCTAACGTGAACGGATCAGGCACCGACAAAGGGCTCAAACATCCGTAAGAAATGATCAACAAATGAGTAAGAGATATGGACACTTCAGTCTCAACTCGAGCTAGAGAGTAATACACTTCACAGGGCTACCGATCGGCTTGTCGGTGAGTCGCGTTTTCGATGAGTGCCTTTGTTCACGTGCGCAAAGTGATAGAAACGATTGAGCAGTCAGCGTTTGTATCGACGACTTTCTAACTTCAAGCCACTCTCTACCGGCCGAAGGTTGCATGGCTTCCGAACCGCCCAAATGTCATTTACGCGGTATTGTAGTTTGCGATGAAGTTCAAGTTGGTCTCGTCTCGCTCCGGGATTCCATTCTTGCTGTCACGCTAGCAAGCAACAAACAAACCTTAACAGGAATCTGACCTCTACGCATAGAATTGTGCATGTCTTTATTATGTGGTCAAGTAATATCCATCGAGTTGAATCTCTATAGCATTGAGCAGGCGAAAATGTTCTAAATTTTTCGATTAACGCTAGTACGTAATGTAACGTAGATATTGCAAGGATGCCAAATATAATACAGATGTCCTGCTCTGTTACCTTGTTAAGCTCGGAGAAGCAAATCATGGTTTCTGTATATGGTCCTTCTTTATAGCTGAGAATGAATGATATCATAAATGATCGAGTGACGCAAATGTGTAATTCGTAAATTAATCCAGCTAAGATCGACTGATAAATAGATAAAACCTACCCGCCCAGTCAACCACTAGTGAGATCTCTCGCCGCAACGGAAACCGCATTCAGCCCAACCCTAACATAAATCTTAGAGTGGACAGCGAATTTTGCAAAGGAAAAACAAATAAATAACGCAAGTGACCAACCCGTGTCATTTCAGTGCCTATGGTTTTTGTTCTGCCATCCTTCTTCGTCCCCCTGGTTAACTATGTGCGGCATTATAAATTGCAAGAACTCTTCACATGGGTCTTCCCCTTTGTTATTCTTATACTCCACTGATATGTCATGGTCACGTTAATCTGTAATCTATGTGTTCGTCGCTTGGCCGACCTGCTCTCTCTCTCTCTCTCTCTCTCTCTCTCTCTCTCTCT